GGTTTTTGCTATAGGGCGCGTGCGCTCGCCAGACGGACAGAGAGAGACATAGAGACAGAAAGCGAGAAATCACCCCCCGGGGGGTTGGTCACACCACACTCCCTTCTCCTCCATTCTCCTCTCAGGATCTTGGGCACATACACGCGCCCGGTGTGAGTTTTAAGCCACCGGGTCCAGGATGCGAACCACAGTCGACTATGTGGGAGTCCAGCAACACAGCCATTACACTAACTGCTGGTTCCCTATCCTCTGAGTTCTCATAGCATTTCTCAAACCCTGTTTTATAATGGCCATTCATGTTTGATAAATGAGTGAAAGAATGGATAGGGAACAGGTGTGGGGAATGTATGGGCTCTAAATTAATTTCATCTTGCTGTAGATACTATAAGGTAGTAATTCTGTGCCATTCTCATGTGTAAGCGACCTTGATCTCCTTGGAAAGATCATTTTCAACTAATCAGGAAGTACTAATCAGCAAATAGGGTTTGAGAGTTGGCTGTGTCTACCTAGCTCGTGCTGGGAGTAGGGGAGGGATTAGAGAGAGCTCCGTACAGTATACAGTCAGGAAACTGATGATGGTGCTTTTGAATGTCAGACCTTCCATTAGGTTTATTTAAACTAACCAGCATTTAGCCAACATGATTCAAAGTGGGGATTCTTCCCACTCCCAACAAAAAGGCTTCAACGGCAATGGTAAATAAACCTTTATCTCTCAAAGTATACTTAAAGAAGAAAACAACCAAGTTGAGGAAGAGCCACATCACAGAGGACAGCTTGGTCTAGTATCCACAGTTCTGGTGTGGGCAGGAATCTAGGAAAGGTCGTCTGAGCCTGCTTCCTGCATAGTTCCTTTTCTATTCAGTTCAACGTCCCTTCTCTGCCTGCTTCCTTTGCTGTTTTGTTTTGTTTTGTTCTGATATCTTACCCATATGTCAGTATTACTCATTTACCAATTCATTTGTTCAGCAAATATTTATTGAGCATTTTCTCTGGGAGATCTGGTTTAGAAACTAGGCATACAGAGGCAAATAAAAATGGTCTCTGCCTAGGACGTGTGAAAAGGCAGACAGTGAGAAACATGAAGTTGGAGGTCAGGGTGGTGGATGAGGTTATTACGGGTGAGCAGGTATGGTAGTGTGGACCTACCTAAGGAGATAGTGACTCCCTGGGAGAATAGAAGTTTTTCATTTTTAAATTATTTTTAATTTGCCAGAGAGCGAGGGGATGGGAGAAAGTACCCTCGAGTGGGGCATGGTCATGCTGTAATCCCTTCTCCTCTACCCCTTTGGGATTGGGGGCATATACACACAAGTCCCCAGTGGATTTTTCAAGCCACTGGGTTTGGGATTTGAACTGCAGTTAGCCATGTGGGATCTGGCTCTCTCAACTACTAGACCCTGGGCCAGCCCAAAAATATTTCAAAGGAAAGGTGACATTTGAGTTGGGAATCAAAGAATGAGAAGTTTTTATGACTGTGATGGGGAGGAGGGTGGGAGTTACTATTTCAAGGAATGGTTCATGTACTTAGGAAGTAGGAATCAAGGGACAGTGTCCTCAAATAAATATGATGAAGAAGAATGGGGTGAGATACTCAGAAGTACCATATTTCATACTGAGAAGTTTAGACTAACTTGTAATCAGTGGGAGAATTTAAGCAAGAAGGAACACTAATGAGCATTTAGGAAAAACCTAGTAGCTTTGTGGAACGATCATAAGGCAGGGAGACCATTTTAGGAGATTCTTGCTTTAATTCACACAGCCACCTACTGATGCACACTCTCCCAGTGTTGTGACTGGAGATTTATGAGGTTAGCAAATGTCCCAGGGGGTACCATTGGCCAAGTCGGGAACATAACACTGGACAGGCGCAGCAGCGATGTGGTTTCTGGGACCAGTTTTACTACTAACGGGACCTTATACAAGTCTCTTAGGGTTCCATATTGGAAATTGAGGGTTTGGGACTAAATAACTATTGTAGTTTTTTTCTCTATGTAATTTTGTACTTATTTCTTTTTTAAGAATTATTTTATTTAACTTTAAATATATATATATATATATATACATATATATATTTATATTTGACCAGAGAGGGGAAAAGATCCAGGACTTGAACTACGGTTGGCCATGTCGGACTCCAGCACCCTTCACCACGCTACCTGCTGGCCCCTATAACTTTGTACTTCCAAACAAACAAAAACCCCCATTTTGGGAGGTTTCTTTTTTGAGAGAGATTTTTGTAGGGTGTATGTGCTAGCTGGAAAAATCACTCCCCCAGGGGGATGGCCATGCCACAATCCCATCTATTCCACTCTTCTCTCAGGATTTTGACACACATGCACAGGTGCCCTGTGTGAGGTGTTTTTTGTTTTTTGTTTTTAATTATTTTATTGAACTTATTTTTTTAGTTTGACCAGAGTGGGGCAAAGTGAGAGAGAGAGAGAGAGAGAGAGAGAGAGAGAGAGAGAGAGAGAGAGAGAGAGAGAGAGAGAGAGAGAGAGAGAGAGAGAGAGAGGGAATCTGAGAAAGCAAGCTGGCAGGTCTGGGACTCAAACCACAGTTGGCCATGTGGGAATCCAGGGCCCTTAACCACCAAGTCACCTGCTGTCCCTATCCTGCCGTGAGTTTTAAGCCTCCGGGTCTGGAACTTGAACTGAGGTCAACTATGTGGGAGTCCAACAACATAATCATTATGCCATCTCTTGTCCCCAATCATTTTTTGTTGTTGTTGAGGTTTTCACTATAGGGCGCATGCGCTTGCCAGACAGACAGAGACATAGAGACAGAAAGTAAGAAATCACCCTCCGGGGGGGATGGTCACGCCGCAATCCCTTTTCCTCCATTCTCCTCTCGGGATCTTGGGCACACACGCACATGCGCCTGGCGTGAGTTCTAAGCCACCGGGTCCGGGACTCGAACCACAGTCGACTACGTGGGAGTCCAGTGACTTAGCCATTAAGCTAACTGCTGGTTCCCATCTTGTCCCCAATCTTAATAGAGCTTCTTCTTATAATGTCTATGATATTTCTTTCTGAGTCTAACTGAACCTTTGTAGAAGAAGGATTTCCACTCAGGTTCTAGCATTCTGCATTTCTTTCAGTATGAATACATTTTCCACACTCTACAAATTATATTTGGTGATTTCCTCAAAATTGCATTTGATCAAATTCTATCAAATTGAAGCAGTCGTCTTTGCTGTATATTTATCTGCCAAGTATATTTTGGTTTCTACAAAGGTAACAATGACAGTTTTCCATTAATTTTTAATGAACAGGAAATTATCCACAGGGATAGTCTAAAACCATAGGTAATTAACAGT